GGAATGAAGCCCATCAAGGAAGACTCTGAACTCCCTGGGGGATGAGCCCTGTTAGCAGTGGTCCAATACCAGGACCCTGGCTGGACCTCAGAAGTAGTGATGAAGCCAAGGAGTCTCTCCTCACAGGCCGGTGTCCTTGGACTTGGCCCTCCAGACCATCTTGTGAGTGCAGTGAGCACAGCGCTGGGTCCGCCACCTCAGTCGACTCTGGCAACCCCTCGCTCTTTGAAATTCTGCACCCTCAGAGCTTCCGTAGAAGAGCTCTTCCTTCCTGCGGGGTGGTCTCTGATCAGACATAGCTCAGGGCTCAGGGCACGTTTCCTCAGACTGGGGCCTGTGTGTCCCCTTGCTCTCCATCTTTCTCATTCTCGTCTCCTGCCTAGGGTGGGAAAGGCCTTGCATCTGACTAGTGGGCTAAGTTCCAGGACCTGACTTAGGCCTGGGGGAAAGAGACAGAGCCAGCCTTCTCACAGCTCACTGTGGCACAAGTCCCTGCCATCCTGGCCAGCTTGGGCAAGCACAACCCCGGTGTGGTCCAGCATGTCTCCCTGGAGTGGGTGTGGTCTGGGGCCAAGGCGTCCACCACAATGAAGGACCACTCTACCGGCATCAGGGGTGCAAACATCTTCCTCGGGGGTCTGTGGGAAGGTGGGGAGGCTGGGCCAAGGTGGAATAGAAGGGGCCTTGGGTCTGCAGGTCAAATGGGACCTATTTCTGGGAACTAACTAGAAAACCGCAGCATGTTCCCAGCAGCTTAGGAGGAAAGTGGAATGACATATTACAACACTCCTTTTATGGAAATTTCATCTACTACAGCTGTGTTTGTACCCGCCCGGGCCATAGCATTTATGGCGCTGTTTGTGCCTGAACTGGAACCCAGTTCAGCCCCAGAAGTTCTGCAGAGTGAAATGTAACCGTTTCCACACATCACAGAACCTGCTGCATGGTGAGCTTTCACCAAATGGGTGGGGTATTGGGATGGTCACGGAGCCCCTGGGTGGTACAGGTAGGATGGCAGTTCAAACCCACTCAGAGATGCCTCAGAAAGCAGGCGCGGGGAGTCCTTTCCAAAAAAGCACCGTTAAGCCCCCAAGGGGCACAGGTCTACTCGTGCTACAAACGGGGTTGCCATGAATTGGAGTCCGCTCAGTGGCAACTTGTTTTTAACCCACGTGTGTGGAATGAGTCTCCAGTCAGGTGGAATGTTTCTGGTCAGATGCTGTTGACTCGGCTCCGACCCCATGACAACAGCACCCGGCCTGGTCCTGCCACATCTTCACCAGGGTCACGTTTGAGTCACTGCTGCGGCCACTGAAGCAATCCATCTCCTGGAGGGTCTTCCTAGTTTCCCACTGACCTTCTACTTTCAAGCAGGATGGCCTTTTCCAAGGAGCCCTGTGGCACTGTCAGGTAAGCCTTGGACTATTAAGCATAAGGTGGGCCGTTCAAATCCAGCAGCTGCTCTGCAGGAGAATGAAGAGGCTGTCTGTTCCCATAAAAATATATAGGGTCACCCTGAGTTGGAATTGTTTTGACAGCAGTGGGTTTTTTGGTTTGGATGTCCCTCTCCAGGGATTGGTATTTCCTGATAACTTGTGTAATGTCTTCAACATACATGAGGTGAAGTCTCACCATCCTCAATTCTACAGAGCATTCTCTCTGTATTTTTATCAAGATGAACATCCAGGCAATTACAACGTATAGTGACCCTATATCGTGATGTTCTCTGTTAAGTGCAACATATAGAAATCATATAGGGTTTCTAAGGCTATGACGTTTTATGGGAGCAGACAGCCTCATCATTTTCCCAATGCGAATCCACTGTAACCAGCTCCTTCAATTGATTTAGTATAGAAGGCTACCTTCCCCCTCCCCACCCCCCACAGCCTATAGGGTTTAAGTGACAAATAGACCTCCCTAAGTCAAACTGTTCTTGCAAAAAACTGATGGGTGGATCCACAAGGAAAGTGAAATGAGGGCTTGTCCTTCAGCTGCTGTGAGAAGACGCGCCTGTGTGCCCACCAGTTCTGATTAAGCGCTCAGTCCAGTCGTTCACTTGCATAACATCCACGTTACTCAGTGCGCTCCTGGCTTGCCTCGTGTTGAAACCGGATCCATGACAATAAGTTTGAATTTTGAGTTTGACAGTCAAGAAATCAACTGACATACTGCACGGGGCAAATCAGCTGCAAAAGTGCTAACAAGCAAAGATGTCACTTTGAGAAAGGACTAAGGTGCACCTGACCCCAGGGATGGTAGTTCCGATCGCCTCATCTGCACTTGGGAGCTGGACAATGGGAAAAGAAGATGGAAGAATAACTGATGTCTTGCAGTGTGTGGCTGGCAATAAGGATGGCATATTCCATGGACTGCCGGGAGGAAGAGCAAGCCTGTCTTGGAAGAAGCATGCCGGAAGGCTCCTTAGAAGCGAAAGTGGCGAGACATTTCACTGCTTTGTAAGTCACCAGGAGGGACCAGGCCCTGGAGAGAAATACCGTGTTCAGTAGAGGGTCAGCCGAAGAGAGGAAAACTCTCAAGGCAATACATTAACAATCGCTGCAACAATGGGCTCAAACACAGGAACCATTGAGAGGAAGCGCTGTTCTGTTGCTGGACATGGGGTTGCTAAGGCACCTAACCACAGCAGCAGCACCTCGAGGGCTTGTGGGTGTGCCACCCCCACCCCCCCATGCCCCCTACCCCACCTCCCTGCACTCCTAGCTCAGCGGCCTGAGGCTGGGCTCCAGAGTGTGCGTTTCCAACAGGCTCCGAGGTCCTGCTGCTGCGGCTGGGTGGTCAGTTAGTGAGATTTGCACACCACGGTCTCATGGCAAGGAGCTCTGGTGGTGCAATGGGTTAAGCACTGGGCTGCTGACTACGAAGTCAGTAATTCAAACCCAGAGGGAGAAAGAGGAGGCTGTCTGCTCCTGTAAAGATTTTCAGTCTCAGCAACAGAGAGCAGCTCTCCTCTGTCCTGCAGGGTGTCCACAAGCCAGGATCAACTCAAGGCCGTGGGCGGGTGGGTGCGCATTTACTCAGGTCCTGTGCTAAGGACTCAAGAGGGCCTGCAGCCCACCTTGGGGAGGAACAGTCAAGGTTAAGGCTAAATGAGGAACTCTGGTAGCGCACAGGTTTTAGCTGTCAAGCAAAATATCAATGGTTTGAGCACACCAGTCACAGCGAAAACCATGGCAGTTGGAGTCTGTGGAGACCACGGGGCCGCAGACACCCCACAGAGCAGTCCTACTGTCCTAGCAGGGCACTCTCCGTCAGAATGGACTTCACTGCCATTAATGCCTTTTCCCCCTTAGGGCAAAATGTTAAAATCCAGTAAAACTCCTGGGAATCTGACAGGAGTCACACAACTTCACCAGAAGCCACGCGTGAGTGAGCGTGATGGGGCTGAGGGTGAGGCGGGCAATGCCATGCAGGCAGTGAGGCTGGAGATGGGAAGGCCATGTGTTTAAGAGAAGCAGGTGCTGCTGCAGGGCCAGAGAGCTAGGCTTCGGAAGGCGGTAGCGGTCTCCTGGCCCCACTCCATCTTGAAACTCTTGGTGATGACAAAAGAAAGGCGTTGACGATGTTTGAATTTGTGTCCCATGGACGGTGACCCTGTCTGACAGAGAATTGCCCCCAGGCCTGTGAGGCTGCAGTCTTTACAGAGCACGAGGTCTTCCTACGGTGCCAGCCCTGGGTGAGTTTGAACCTGTCTTGCTAGCAGTTGAATGTGTGACCAGTGAGCAGACACTTAAAACCAAACTCACCGCCAGTCAGTCAACTCACAGCAACCCAACAGTGCAGGACAGAACAGCCACGGGTTTCCGAGACTGGACATCTTAACCCGGGTAGCCAGTCTCATCTTACTCCTGCAGAGCAGCTGCTGGTTTTGAACTGCTGACCTTGTGGTTAGCAGCTTGATGTTAGCCACCAGGGCTCCTTGAAAACTTTGTTAGGTCGTTAAAAATGTTGGTAATATTTGTGCTGGGCTTTTGCAAAAGGGTTTTCCAGCTGTAGGAAGGGAAGTTTAACGAGAGGTGATACCTAGTTTTGGGCTTAAAAATAACTACAGTAATGGGGTTAAAGAGGCACCTTGATGGGTTAGCCTCTTTGTGAGCAGCTTTTTCGACTTCATCCCCACAATTTCCCAGCCTCCGCATGACTAACATAAACCCCAAAGTACCAAGATCTGGTTGAGGTTGTAAATCCGCTTAGCTACTAAGCAGCTCTTGCGGGAGCAGAGGTAGGGTTTCTTCCCAGCCGTGATCATGCTGTTTGTCTCCAGCATTTAACCTGGGGGTGTGGGCATGGCTTCCCTGGAGACCGCCCTCGGCTCAGAGCCCACGCTGCTACAAGGACTGATGGGGCAATCCAAGGTCAAATGGCATGAGGCCTTGTCCCCTGGGAGCTGTACCCATGAGCTATTATTAAGCTTTCATCACGTCCATCCCACATCCACCACTTTTACAAAAGCCTTCCTGACATGAAGATGCCGACCATGCGCCTGGAGTGACCACAGGCATGGTGGCCAGCCCATCTGCTTCTGCTGCACTCTGAAACCCTCTCTAGTCTACACCACTCTTCCTGGAGAGAGCACAGTGGTTTAAAAGAAACCCTTTGTCCTTTGGACACATTTACTGTTCTGTGAAAATGAGTGTGGTTCCCATGAAGTGGTACTCCCTTCTCTGGAATCAATGCCATCATTGGATCCGCTACATGGAAGGCTCTAGTTCCAGGAAGCACCATCCGAGGCCTGCTGTACCATGTGCTCTGGGAGCTGCTGTGTCCGTATGCCTGGGAGCATGCTAGAAATGCAGGGCCCCAGGTCCCAGCCCAGACCCCCTGAATCAGAACCAGAGGCTTCCCCAGGCCCCTCGGCGAGACTTCTGCACGTCCACCCTGGAGAACTCACAAGCTTCCACGACAGCACCGGTGAGAGAAGGCCATGTCAGTCACTCCTCCCAGCCTTTCACGGCCAGCAAATCAAGGGCTGCGGGAGGCAGTTTCAGCGACAGCATTGCACCAAGAGTACCAAATGATTTTTATTAAAAAAAGGTACATTTAATGATCATCCACTTGTCTAAAAAACCCACAAAAACAGAGATCAAGGAAACACCCAGCTCTTCCTTCCCCGGCCGCTCTGGTCTTCCTCCTCCTTTCCCTAACCCATGTCTTCCCACCTCGTACCAGGAGGGAAGCTGCTGAGAGATCTGTGTAGGTGAAGCTCACGGCGACTTCAAAGGCATTCTGTGCTAATGGTGTCTGTTCCAGTCTCTAACTCCAAGAACCAAGCCCCTACTCCCGGCTAACGTTTCCCACTGTTACTGGTTGACCCTGCGGCTTTGCAGCTTGTCTGTCCTAGCACAGAGGCCCTCAAACCCAGCTGTGGGCTCCAAGTTCAAGTATAAAGGTGTGTTTCTGGACAACCGGTTGCTGTAGTGTTCTCTTTCTGTAGTGTCACCTGGGTGCCGTCCCCTTGGATGGACTAGACAGATGGCAGCACAGCACAGAGGCCCCTGGTCCATGCTGTCACAGCCCAACTTGTGCCGTGGTGGTCTGGACACTGCTCCGCAGTAAGGCTGAAGTCCTGAACTCTTCATTCAGAAGCTGTACTCTGATGCAGGTAGAAGTAATTTCTTCATTAATGAAAAGCTTTTAACAGATGTCAGAGGTATCCTTAAAAAAAAAATCACGAGATAATTATATCAAAATGCAATTTGGGGGTTGGAAACTACACTCATGAAGTTTACTTTCCCAAAGGAACGGACAATAAAACCAGAAAAGCAGACCCAAAGGGGTGCTCGGCAGTCTGTAAGAGACTCCACTTCTCAACACGGCACAAGCCCCGCTGCAGGGAGAGCCTTCCGGCCCAAGGCTCGGCCAGGTGGCTTGTAAAAGCATTCTCTGGGGCCAACTCACTGCCTTTACCTGACTTATTAAGCACAGCAGACCCCATAAAGAATCTAAAACAGACAGCATCAATGACAAAATCAGAGGCCTGTATTCTTTACACCCTAAGGGCTACTAAAGGAGCCCTGATGGTCCAGTGGGTTAAGTGTTGGGCTACTTCCTGCAAAATCAGCGCTCTGAATCCACCAGCTGCAACCTGGGAGAAAGATGAGGCTGACTGCTTCCTTAAAGATCTCTAAACCTTAGAAACGCTATCAGTAGCTTCGCTTTCCTATAGGGTTTATGTGAGTGCGAAATCAGCTCTCTGGCAGGGGCTTGGTTTTGCACTGTTAAATGGTTGCCAGTAGTGGCTGAGCTGAAGCAGTGCCTGCGCCCTTGCTGTTCACATGCACACGCCCCACTGCAGCCTCCAAAGCAGGCACAGGGCAGCCTTTTGTGTGTGCACAGCACTTTTCAAGATGTAGCTCAATCCCACAGTGAAAAGAAAAGCGCTCCTGATGGAAGCATCTGTGATAGGTAGGTTCATGCAGCTGAGTACGTGGAGGTCCCCGGCACTGAAAGCCGCAGGTCAGCCCCAGGCAGGCCGCTGCAGGAGCCCCACTGCCTGCATTGTGTGTTAAAATTCTGAACCCAAGGAACCATGTCTAGGTTATGACCCATTTTCATAATTTCAGAGAAATGAGATCCTCACATGTGCTTCCCATTGATCGAGCTAGCTTCTAATGACGCATCTATACTAAAGCGCTGACATGCAGCGGTGTCACTTGGGGCGACACTGGAAAATGCTTCTTTCTCATCAGTGCTCAGTAAAAACTGACCGGGGGCAGCAGGCGAAGTCCACCTGCCATGAACACCTTCCTGCAACATGGCCCCAACAGAGCTGAGCCCCTTCTCGCCATTGCTTATGTACCTATCAGCAGGGGAGAGGGCGGTGCCGTAAAGGAAGACCTGGCCACCACACCTTAGGATGTGTCCTGGGATTGAGCCGCAGGGTCCTGGCTCGCGGGCTCTGGAGGAGGGGCCGGCGCAGCTTCTTTCTTCTGGGCCGCCAGGAACTCATGAATAGCCCGTTCTATCTGTGGCCTGAAGATGTGGTTTAGCTTTGGATCCACCACCTGGGAGATAATTCTGTCTACTCCTGCTTCCAACATCCCAGATCTGGCAGAGACAAAGAGACAGTTCCATGACTCACAGTCAGTCAGGTGTGAGCCAAGAAGGGCCCACCTGGTCAAATGCCAGCCTACCCAGGGAGTCCTTTCAAAGGGCAAACTACATATCGCACACAGTTAGAGGCCTGGACTATCACTTTTGAGGGGCAATTCAGAACCAGCTGGTCCCT